ATGACAAATACTTATGGAAACTCTGCAGAAGGCTACGTAAGAGATTTTTTCATTCACTTATTTACGTGAGTAGGGACTTTCCCTGTCTTCTGTGTAATATGTAGAAGAAGGATCAGAAACTACTTAATTGGAGACTCTGAGTGTCTTGAAGGGGATGTGGCCGCAGTGCCCAATCTCCAAAGCTTCCCTTTGCCATCCTAGCATGGCCTGTCCCTGTACAAAAGAACATGCACCAAATATTGCTTCTACTTTTGCAAATCACTCTTCAAGCAAAAATCTCAAAGCCCAATGTAATTAATAAAATCATTTGCATCCTGTTTAGATGAGTAGCGTTTTATATGTACAAATTCCACCTCTGTCCCTAGGCCTTCCAAGAGTATGAGAATGTTTTCAATTTTGAAGAATGAGCAATACAGTAATTGAAAGGAGCTGTATCTTGGCAAATGCAAAAGACCTCAAAGGCATTTGTAGTGACCTATATGAGAAAGTGTGGCAACCACAAAGTGTGTCATAATGGCTTGTCAGCCATGCTGTGCTAAATGGTTCAAAGATAGGAAAGATAAGGAAGAATAAAACATTTAGTTCTTAGGCGTCAGAGACCCCTGGACATCATCTGTTCACTAAAGTCTCTGAAGGATCTGGAAGCAGTGAAATGGTGACATTAGCTGATGATCCAGTTTCTTGGGTTAATCAAGGAAGCAGGGACAGCCGGGGCCAATTAAGTAGCTAGGCAGCCAATGATAGATGAATCATTATAGGCAAGTGCAAAGATAATGCCATTGGGAAAAGCAATTGAAGCCACTCAGGCACTTCCAGGCCAGGAAATCCTTCTAGTCTTCAAGGGGGAACATGTAGGAATCATCAGGCCCAGCCTGATTAAGTCATCTGTTCATTGTGTAGCTAATGAGCCACAAAAGTGCTGAACGCACACGGGGACAGGCCATATGGAATATATTTTGGTGGCTGAGATGTATCTCTGTGCCTTGATTTCAATCACCTTTAAAACAATCCTTACCACAGCTCTCTTTTCCTTTCCTTCTGTCCACAATCTCCCCCTACTCCACATGTTCTTAACTCTCTAAACACAGTTTCAATGTATGGGTGATTTTTCTTAAGTAAGGCAAATATTCTCCTTCTTAATTTCTAATCCTGCACTTCCAATAAGCTCTGTAAACATACAAGTTTCCAAGGGACACACCAGCATGTTATAAAATTCCTTTTTTTTTTAGCACAAAGGAGACTGTGTCTAAGCACATATAGAGAGAGAGACACACAGATGTTTCTACGCGTCTCTGGATTTCTACTTCTATTCACGTTGCAAATTTAGAATTGGGGATTTTGAAAGGAATATGAACTAAGAAACCATACTTGGAACTACCTGTTTCTTTCTTTAAAATCAAAGTTCCATCCAGGGACTCCAAAGTAAAGGTTGTCAATGAGTTGTCATGTTGATAAAACCAAGGAACACTATTCTATGTCCGGCTTTGTTTTCTCCCTCTCTGGTTGCTACTATTTTGTCTCCCTTTCAAATTCATCTTATTCCTACTCCTTCCAATCATCAAGTGTGGGATTCTTCAATCCCTATAGTCTCACCTCATTTTTTCTTTTTTAGACAATCCATTCATCTTTCCAGCCTCATCTTGTCCCACCCTCAACTACATCTTGCCTTGTTCACAACCTCTGTGTTCTTCTACAAACCACAAGACCATTGCACCTATTTGCTAGGCCTGGAATACTCTCCTTTAGCTTTTTGTATGGTTAATACTTGCTCATCCTTTGGATCTTTGTTCATTCATCGTTTATTGATTTTTTCCAGATTTGGTCCAGTCTCCCTCTTATGAGCTCTCATAACACCACATAACATTTCTCTACACTGCTCATCAGAGTTGCAATTTTACAACCATTTGTGTGATTATTTGATTAATGTCTGTTTCTCTCACAAGACTATAAGCTCTTCTGTTTTTATATCTTACTATTCCTATTGTTACTGACTAACCTTGAACTGCCCACCTCTCTTCTTTATAGGTAGCCACAACTTCTACCAACCAATAGTTTACTCTGTCTCACAGATTCTGCCAATAAGCATTTTTTTCTATGTCTTTCAATTTCTACTCTTACTACCAACTAAATTTTACTACCATCCTCTCTAGATTTTTCACATCCACACTGTAATAGCAAGAAGATCTGGTTTGTTTAATTTATATTTATTGTCTCTTTTTCAAAGCTCCTATGATAGACCAATGTATGGCTTCCTTGCAAACACCAAAGTGGACTGCCTTTGGGTCAAGGGCATGCTCCATTCATTGTCTGTGGTCAGGATAGAGGGGCTGAGATGTCAGCATCCTTAGGAAAGAACAATAAGCCGGATGATCTCTCCATCCCAATCTGCCTGCTGGGAGCTGGCAGAGTTGAGGAAGGATCATCCTTGAGAACTGGAGTTGGGAAAAAGAAAGTAACAGAAAACAAGCATGGACGATTGGGGCATTTAGCATCTTGCTCCTTGGTCTGTGTTCCACTCAACTAAATCTCCATTTCTCTGCATATACCGTATCATTAACACAATTAAGGTATCACAGAAGTTAAGTCCATTTAGGCCCAATGAGCAAAGGAAAACTTAAAGGAATATTTGAAGTATTTTGGGAGTGATAGAGATGAGTGAAAAAATGTTAGATGTCTGGGTAAAGAAAGTGCCTTTGGGAGCTTGTCTATACCTGGTTCACCCTCGCTCCTTGGACACAGCCCTTCAGGACCTCTACCTAAAGTGAAGGGGGCCCTAGACTCCAACCTAGCGATATCCTATGCTAGCGATACCTTACCCAACCACTCACAACGTGAGTCCATCAAGCACTTGCTCAGCCTTCAACTCTCAACTGCCTCTACTTAAAAATATATATATATTTATATATATATTTTATATGTATTTATACATATTTTATATATATATATATATAAACCATAATACAAACAGCTGGCAGAAATGAGAGTTTTATTGATCTTTAGAAGAACCGATTACCACCATCCCTTACCCGGGCAGAGCATTATAGTGGAGGGACTAACAACACGGAATTGTTAGTGAATTGTTAGATTCTAGACTAACAATCTAGAATCTTAGATTCTAGAATCCAATTCTGGCTTGGTCACCTACCAACTATGTAAATTTGTGTAAGTTCTTTGGCTTCTCCTTGTGTATAACATAGGATTACAGTTCTTATACCAATTTGGTTGTTGTGACGACTAAATCAATAAATGTCAAGAGCTTATAACAATGGTGACATCACATATGGGTGAGCTATAATTATTGTTGTTGTTGATATTATTATTGTCCTTTAGAGGCTACTTGATCCAATTAGTAGCCACCACCTGAATTATTCAGGACACATTTGGTTACAGGAGGCAGAAGAGGAAATGTATTGGCTCATACAGCAGGGAAATCTAAAAAAATGGTCTGGCTTAGGCACAGCTAGACCCAAAGGTTCAGATGATGCCATCAGGACTCTCAGTGTCCTGCGCAGTGACTTCTATGTGAGTCAATATCATTCTCAAGCAGGCTTCCTCCAGGAGAGGACAAAGATGCAGCTTTATAATTATTTGATGCTTACACTTCTTCCTCAGTCGATCTGAAAGAAAGACTCAAATAGTCTCTAGTTGTGCTCCATCATCAAACCAATAATCAGGGGGATGAAATATTCCAACTGATCAAGACTGGCCCTCATATTGCCTTGTAGAAAAGAGGAAAGTCAGGGCCAACCCTACTCAAACAGTATGATTCTCTGGAGAAGGATGCTGAGCACAAGATGCCCACTGCTCAACCCTTTGTCAAGGCACAATCTGGGGCTATTTCTCTAGAAGAGACCAGATGACTGTGATTGACATGTTTACTGAAATGTTTACCCTATTTCCATCTGAAGAGTTACAAACACCCATGAGTGATGTTCAAAACATTGTATAACCCCTAGAGCAGAATCTCTGACCAGTTCGTCTGAACATCTCACCACTCAGAATGGAGGTCCGCTAAAGACAACCAGTAAGATATAAGACTGTAGTGACACATTCCTGCCCAGCAGCAATCCTGCATCAAATGCAAACTTTGAGCTGATTTCTAGGGGAGTTCAGTGTTTAATCCTATTCATTCTTATTGAACAAACACTATCTAGCTTTGGCTGACTTACTTACCCACCTATTTTGAAGCAGGACCCGAGTAGACAGGCATCTTCAGGATAGGACTTTCTGCTCTTTCATCACTTTGACATCTCACATGTGTGAACATTGCACTGGGACACACACTTAGGACACAGGATATAAGACTTAGAGCTGAAGCACCAATAACCTTGACATGGATCCCTGTATGTACTTTGCTTCTGTTTTGGGTCAATGTTGTCCTTTTTTCTGGTTTAGGAAAGCAGGAGTCCCCCCTCTTTCCTCGCTTCTGTTAGTCTACCACCAAATGCCTCAAAAAACAGCCCTGATCTCAGCAGGACTTACCTTTGTCTATGAATGTGCTATCCCTACAAATTCAGATTGGATGAAGGATCCTTTGGTTAGAGATTTAAATGAGGGACAATTTAATGAGCCAATTCAGTTTAGCTAAAAAGCATCTACCAATATCTGCTATGAAGCGTGGGAGGTGGGAGGAAGTGGTTATGTTACTTCTAATCACACTCCCTTCTCTCATGTTGGTGTTTTTAAGGTACTTCGCACAGAGTCTATAAAAAATAGGTACCTCCCCTGCCTCCCACTGGCCTTCTAGCGTAGCCTGGCTTCAGTTGCTTGCAGCACCTCATAGCATCATCTACCTCTCTTCCTGCCTTCCAGGTTCAGTGCAGTACCTGGGCCTCAGTTCCCACACCTACTCCCCAGGAGATATCTCCCTTCCCTACTTCCTCCTCCCAGCTAGTGCTGCTGGCCTGCAGAAAGACTTAGAGATGGTTGCCAAGTTGACCTGAACTTTACTTCCCTCTTTCTAGTGGGAATTGATGGATTTCACACCTGTCTCTTTTCAGGGTTGCAGAGAGTACGGCAACTTGCGAAAAACACAAGATACTTCAGACAAAGACTGCAGGAAATGGGATTCATTATCTATGGCAATGAGAATTCTCCTGTTGTTCCTCTGCTTCTTTACATGCCTGGTAAAGTAGCGTAAGTATCCAAGGCATCTCATAATCACACCTAAACCCCAAGGTGACCTAAGATGGCTTTTTGGCACAGGCGTTAGATTATGCATTTGGAATGGGGTGATTGAGTTCAGAATTCACTTATACAGCTGCTCAGAAGCCACCTGCCAGCCTATCAGCTAGACCCTTCCCACAGGTCTTACAGAAAGGGAACCAGGTGCTAAGATTGCGCTCTCTCCCTAAATTCAAGTCCTGTGAAATTAGGGAAATCACTTATCTCCCTCAGCCTCACCTGTAAATTAAGCACGATCCTGAGCCTCCTTCTGACCCAAGACCGTTCTCAGGGAGAACTTCTGAAGATCATATCTCCCCATATTACCATCAAAACAATGTGATCAGGCTCTGTGCTTTCTCCCATTGAACTCTGTGGCCATCCTCAGAAGAGGACATTCTCACTTCAAGCATGGGGAAGCTGAGGCTGAGAGCAGTTAAGCAACCTGCCCCAAGTCATACAAGTCAAACAGCAGTAAAACTAAGATGCAAAAACCCAAACCAAGGCTCACATTGAAACTCATGCTCAGTTTCTCATGCCCTTACTGTGAACCTGTTTGGGGGTTGTTTACTTGATTGCAACTTTGAAACTGAGCATTAGCAACAACTGTATAAAGAGGAGAACATGACTTTTTGTCAGTTTGGCAGGGACAATTTTATACATGAGTCCTTCTCCAACCTACTAGAGACTAATATAATTAGACTAATTACATGTTGTTAAGAGGAAGTTAACTAGCAGAGCACATTGGCTCATGCTTGTAATCCCAGCACTTTGGGAGGGTGAGGCAGGTGGATCACCTGAGGTCAGGAGTTCGAGACCAGCCTGGCCAACATGGTGAAACCCTGTCTCTACTAAAAATACAAAAATTAGGTGGACGTGGTGGTGCATGCCTGTAGTCCTAGCTACTAGGGAGGCTGAGGCAGGAGGATCACTTGACCCCAGGAGGCAGAGGTTGCAGTGAGCTGAGATTGTGCCACTGCACTCCAGCCTAGGTGACTGGGTGATAGAATGAGACCCTGTCTCAAAAAAAAAGGAAGTTAACTAAAATCCTTTCTGAAGGTAAAATGTTTGTGTCTCTGACCAAGCACATGATAGAAATTCATATTCAACATACTATGCATCAGATTCTAGTGGTCCTAACTCCCCTCCAGTGTAACCCATTGCTGGAACTTTGTTTGACTCTCTAATAGCCTGACTAGATTGGCAGAGTACTTGAAGTATAGAAAAATACCAATCAAAGAGGCTTGGGGCTTACTCGTGAAAACTCACGGAGGGCAAGACTGAGTTTTAAGTTCCTAAAAGACTGATTCTTCTGACTATGTCTTGGGTCATTTTACCACAGCAAAATCACAAGCAGTTAAAACACGCATGAGTTTTTAGCATGCCACATCATTCCCACCAGTTGGCCCTTTGTTCACAGATCTGGGTCAGGAAAACAGTGCCTGAAGTGTCTGAGGACATAATGTGCCACAGAAATGTTATACGTCATACTGCTCTGTGATAATGTCAAGGAGGGGTGACAACGGTGACTGAAAGTAGCAGACAATCCAAAGGCCTTTAACCACCTGATTTTTGAAGACACACAAACACACACGCACAGACACACATACATTTATTCAAAATGATTGGGGAAATGATGTGTGTTGGAAGAAATAGTCCAAACTTAGCTCAGGTTTATCTAGTATTTTATCATTAGCTCAAAAGAAGGCACTGAAAATAAACGTGTCCAAGGCAAAACACACATAATTCTGGAGTGTTCCACTGACAGTAGGGAGTGTTCTGGATAGTTCCAACTTTCATAACAAAAGCCAGAATTAGAATTCCAACAGGTTGGAAAACTGAACCAACCCAATGAGAAGAGGCCATAAGTAGTGAAAACAAATGCACGTAACTTCAAGAATTCATACAATATGCTATGAACAATATGCTTCATATAAAAGTTATGCTCTATGGTGTGGTGAAAGGTTTGGAATCAAAAAGAAATTTGATTATTCCTCTTCCTAGCTGGGGATTCTTGGACAAGTTACTCAGCTTTCTGAAGCTCCAGCTTTCTCATTTATAAAATGGGACATAATAGTATCGATTTCATAAGGTTACTGTGAAGATTAAACAAGATGATGTCCATAAAGCAGTTAGCATGTTACCTCTTACATAAGAGCTATTCAGTGTTAGCTGTCATTATTAATAGCATTAATCAATAAAGTCATTAATAATGTCATTTTTAGTAATGTGTACAAAGCACTTAATATAGCAGTTGGCGTGCCCTAAGCATTCAATCAGTGGTAGCCATTTTACTACTACTACTCTGCAACAATGATGATCATTATCAGTTTCAACTGAGTACAAGGTTGAGTCACCATGGTTGCACAGCTCTCCAAAATAATTATTACAATTTTTGGTTGCATTATGAAAAATAAAATGTCCAGAAAAAATAGTAGGTAAAGATCCTGCTACACTCCACTTCCATATTGCTATATTCACTGGATAATATGTCAAACCATCTTGTTTCTTTCAACTTAAGATTGTTTTTTAAGAAGAGCTAATATCACAGAGTACTAAATATATGCTAAGTAAGGCTATTAGACCTCAGTGATTACCCATGGAGGGTAGGATGTTTAGCCCTAGTTTATACATGAAGATGCTAAGACTTGGAAAGGTCAAATTACTTTCTAAGGCCGGGTGTGGTGGCTCATACCTGTAATCCCAACATTTTAGGAGGCCGAGGCAGGTGGATCACCTGAGGTCAGGAGTTTGAAACCAGCCTGGCCAACACAGTGAAACCCTGTTTCTACTAAAAATACAAAAAAATAGCTGGGCATGGTGGCAGGCACCTGTACTCCCAGCTACTTGGGAGGCTGAGGCAGAAGAATCACTTGAACCCGGGAGGTAGAGGTTGCAGTGAGCTGAGATCACACCACTGCACTCCAGCCCTGCGCAACAGAGTAAGACTCTGTCTCAAAAAAAAAAATTGCTCTCTAAGACTCACACAGGTTGCAGGCAGCAGAGCCTAGAATTCAAAGCCAGTTTCATTGGCTTCATAAATTAGAACTCTTTTGAACACAGAACACAATCTCTCAAGCTTTAGTCCATAGGGAAAAAATGCACATCTCATTAAAGCAACACAGAGTATAACTATAACTATTTTTAATGTCATCATTGGTGACTCAAAAGGCAGCAATCACTACAAACAGAAAAAAAAAAAATCTGGCTCACCTAATGAAACAGAACAGGTTAGTTACAAAAGGTAGTATTATCTGTTACCGGTAGGAGTTGCTGGCAAGAGTTTGCCCTGCTGTCTGGCTTTGTTCCCTTCTGTGATATTTCTTTGTTGGAAGTTTATAGGTAGAGACGTTTTTGAAATAGGGTGTTAATTGTATAAGCCAGTGTGGAAGCACTTCTTTCATTTGGTCATTTTAAAACCTTTGATTTTACTAAAGAATGGTGATCTCCACATTTCCTCCTATGCAGAATGAAAACATAGTCTGTAGCAAGATATCTTTTTGAACAAAGCCTTGTTATAAGTCTACCACTGGAATCTTCTAGAGAGCTGTGTAATGTGATTTCACCCATAAAACATACTTAAATAATCAAGAATGTATTGTATTTGGTATTTGGTAAAGGGTTTGCATTTTTCTTCCCCTGTTCATGTAATACACTTGGAAGATGGTGTTATACAAGAGGTAGTGATTCTGCATACAATGCAATGCTAATGTTTATTATCATTATTATTATTATTATTTCACATAGTTTAGTTTCTTTCAGCCTATTGCCAATTGCTTTGGGGAGTACAAACACAAAGGCTCATTATATAAAATTTCCAGTGCAATCATACATATTAACTTAAGAACACTAGCTTTAGTGGTGTAAGGTTTAAATTCAGAAGTGCTCCAGGGAGATCCCAGATTAGCCTAATGAATCAATAGAGTCATATATTTTGCCCTGCATTCTTTGGCAAAACGTGCTTCCTTTGGTACAAAGAGAAACATGCAGACAGTGAAAGCAGTCTTCTGGGAGTCCCAAAAACTGGCCTGAGATCAGGGGTCAGGTGGTTTGTACTCTAGCAATAAAAGCACTTGACTTGTTTCTCAGACAATTATGAGCTCTCATTCTGTGCAGTTCCGTGGGCAGCCTTCCATAGGGTGATCAAGAAAGGGAAAGAACAGTCTCTGTTTTCAAGCTTTCTCAGCTAGAAAGCTTCATCTCCTTCCAACCTTCCTAGTTGAAATCAAAGGGCTAATATTGCCTCGCCCAAGCCAGGGGGCCAGAGAAGCTGTGCATCTTGTAGGTCTTGCAGTCTTCATTGCTTCATCTGATAACCTATGTTCTGTCTGAAACAACCAAAGGCAGACTGCTCAACAGCAAAACAAGTGAATGGAAGAGCAGGCTTATTCTCCATGTCTGGTTCAAGAATTCTTCCTGACCTGTGATTGGAATGTTTCTCTGGTGCTGTCAGCTTCCAGCCTAAAATAATACAACAGCAATCTCTTAATGCTAAGAACAGATCTGAGGCATTTACCTCACTTACGGGTAAAGTCACTCAGTAATTAAGTTTTCCTGCAAAGACTAACAGAGCCCAAAAGGGAAAAAGAGTCACTGGAGTGACTTTTTGTCTGACCTTGGCTCTCAGCACTAGATATTTACAGACTTTGAGCTTGATACTCTAGAATTGTTACTGAGATTAGCTCTGGAAAAGAAAGAGACTAGAAGGATGAATAGAAGGAATCATAGCTTACGAAGGTTTTACCCTGCATCAAACAGCTTTCTGGTTCTATGACTTACATCCTATAGGCTGTAAGGTTCTCTGCATGAATACTTCTTTCCTAGTCTCCCTTCTGCCCCATTCCTCTTAAACTCAGTCGCTGAGTTTATTATCCCTGTGCATCCCTGGGTATGTTCATTCACTTATGAAACAATCAGGAGACCTTGCTATTTCTTATCTCTGATTTGATGGATAACATAATCTTTGGTGCTGCAGTGAGAATATTGACTTGGGGTTGGATCCTACAGACCCTCTGATCTTGGTCTTCACATTATACTCATTAAGTATAGGCTCCTTGAAATTTCCTCATTATGTTATTGGTATTAAGTTTTTAAAACATGCAGGTTTACAATTAATATAGATTCTTTCTTTTATGGAATTGCATTATAGGAACTGCTTGGTTTTTATACCTAGGGATCCTGCAGGTGAATTTTATGTCACTGCAGATTTGTTAAACCAGTATCATAAACATCAGCATTTTCTGCTTGATGTCAAAGACTCAATATCCACAATTACCTAATGAGTGTGTCAGACCCATAATCCCACACACACCATCATGAGTGGCACCAAGTGGCTGACTGCCCATTTACTCGTCAATTGTATTTGACGGAAGTTCAAAAACTTCAATCATCTTCCACTTATTATCATAAAAAAAGAAAAAAAGAAAAAGTCAATTAGCCATATTCCTTTTTTGTCAGGATAATGTTGTCTTTTCCCAATTAACCACCTTTTTTTTCTTTTTTTGCTTTTCCTTAAGGGCTTTTGCAAGGCATATGTTAGAGAAAAAAATTGGAGTGGTGGTCGTGGGATTTCCAGCCACTCCCCTCGCAGAAGCTCGGGCTCGGTTTTGTGTTTCAGCAGCCCATACCCGAGAGATGTTAGACACGGTGAGTACACCACAGGCCAACAGGATCTCAGTACCGGTACCCTGGATTCAAAGCAAGTCCTTTTATTGAAACAGCCTGGGGTTCTCTGAGTTTCTCTTGGGTGATTTAGGAAAACAACACTGGCAAAAGTCACTGCCGAAAAATAAGGGCACGTCAACAACAGCCAACACTGTGACCACTCAGTAGATAGAAAAGAAAATCAGTTTAGTGAAGATTTCAATCAGTATTTTGGTTTCCTAGAAAAGACTGACTGAGTAGCCAAATGTTGTTCTATTTACTTAATCTTAAATGCAAAACCTGGTGTAAAATGCTATTTTGGACTTAATTATGTGTATCCTGCCATTTTTCATAGCCACGAAATCTGCCATAATAAAATATGACCCAACTAAGCAACATGTTGGAAAACCAACAACAAGAACAAATCCACATTACAGCAGCACCTAAGTGAGGCAGAAATGATTTTTAAATTACCTTTTGTTGTCGCTTGATTTCCATTGTTATGTGAATAAGTAATATCAGAGAACGAAGCCATCTACTCAGTTTGGAGATAATGGGAAGAGTCACATAACATAAATGCAGTTTTGCAAACACTATTGAGAGTCAACTAAGTACAAACCTGGGGCAAAAAGTCTAGGAGAAGATGCTAATAAACAAGCAACACATATAATACTAGACAGAATAAATTAATCTTGAAGAAGAAATATAGAAAACTGTGGGAGCATGAAGGTGGGCTGAATTATTAGAGTGGAGAAGATTCATAGGGGAAGTGGCTTTTGAGCCAGGCCTTTTTAATAAAGGTTACCGAGCATCATTCAAGACTTCCAATCAGTGGAGTGACACAATCATGTCATTATGAAATAAACATGACAAATGAATTGGAGAGGAACGGGGCCAAAGGAAAGGACCTAAGATGTAGCTATTTAAACAAAACAAGAGATGACAAGGCTAATGGTAGTGGAAACAAAAGAAACGAATCCATGAACAAATATTACAAATGAGTGGAGCTGCCATGACTTGACAAATGATTGGATGTGGTGCATATGTGAGAAGAGAGAATCAAAGACGATTTGAGGTCTTTAGCCCAGATGAATAGAAGGATGGTGAAGCACTTAAATGAGATAAGGTATACAGTAAGGAAGAGCAAATTTTCAGTGGGAGTGGGGGAATAGAATGAGCTCAGTCCTAGGCATGTTGAGACTATGTGTCCATGGGCCACCTATAGAAGAAAAGTAAGATTCTAGAGCTTAGGAGAGTATGCAAAGCTGGAGCTGCTATAGTTTAGGGAACTGAGGGATCCTTACAGCCACGGTAGAATATGTAATTGTCCAGATGTGAGCAACAGTGAACAGGGTGGACTCCTGGGGAGTGCTTACATTCCAGGGTAGATACAGGAATCACAGGTGGGGACCCAGACTTACATGGAACTAGAGCAGTCAGGAAAGACATGTTCAGTGTAGTATTAAACTCCATACAGAGGAGAAAGTTTCAAGCAGGAGGAGGGTCAAAATGCCCCTCAAAACTGCAGGAAGTTTAAATGCAGTGAGGGATGAGAAAAAACTATTGGATTAGCAATTAGTAGGAACTTGATATTCCTTAGAGTAGGCATTTTAAGGGAATGAAGGGAACAGAAATAATAAAAGAATAAAAGAGTAAAGAGGATAATTTGAGTTTGAAATTATACACGTACACATGTGCGCACGCACACACACACACACTTGCCGTGTCCTTCATCTTCACCAGTATAGTCTCAAAACATAAACCAGTGTATTGTACGCAGTAGGTACACAGTACAAATTATTGAATAGCATATTGACAACTGAGCTAACCAGGTTTTGAGATGAGTGAACATTATTTTCTTTACACCCTTCTATATTTTCCAGATTCTCTAAAATGAGCTAAAATGTATTTCCAGAATGTGAATTTTAACAAATTGTTTCTTTTAAATGAAATGAGTTGGTGTTAAGAAAAGGCAGGCAAAAAGATTTGGCCAAAAAAAAAAAAAAAAAAAGAAAGAAAGAAAGAAAAGGCAGGCAAAACGTTCGAGAAGTCTGACTGTAGAAAGAAAAAATAGGATTAGAAAATACCCTTGAAAGTGGAGAAGGCTTGAGTATGTTTACACATTAAAGGAAGAAGACAGTAAAGAAGGGACCTCGCACAGAAGGGAGAGAAGAGAGTGTGGCCAGGAAGCAAGTTCCCTGAGATGACAGGAGGGACAGACCGCTTGGATGAATTTGTAATTTTGTGCTCCAAGCAGCATTGAGGTATTCGTGTAGGTGATTCTCTTCACAACTTCTTAATTGCTGCAAAATACCTACTTTGAAAGGATACTGAGACATCAATGATCTAGACAAATGCCTCTAAACTTTTAAAATCAAGCACCCATCTCAACAGAAAATTTTTAGCAGTTCCTTAATGTACATGTAAGAGAAAGTGGAAAATGACCCTGATGAACAGCCAGTACATTAAGGTAGCAATTGAACCTGAAGGCTCATAGACTAGAAATAATATTAGACATGCACTCCGTGACCACATTTGGACAAGACAGAGACAAGGCCACAATACTTAATGTCTCCCTCTTCTGACCGACATGTGTGACATTTGCTCATTT